CCATAAAGAAAAAGAAAAGAAAAAGAAAAGTCAAAAGAAAATATGTGAGGAGAAGCTTGAGGAGAAGCCTAATAAAAAATTGGTTTCACTTGAATCTTTTTAAATGAAAAGACTTAGAAACAATCTTAAGTTTATTCTTATTTAAAGGTATTAGTCAATTTGGTATAGATAAGGTGCTTAAATTTTATTTTTATGCTTTCAATGAATCTTTAGTTTGACAAGTTTCAATAACTTTTGAAGTAAATAGAAAATTAGGATTCCTAAGTTGAATATGGGATATTCTTACACTCTAATTCTAGGTTGATTTGCAAGAATTTCTCCTAAGTTACACTATAACATTTCTGAGACAAAATTATAGGAAACTCTACTGAAACCTACAACCACAAGTTAACATATTTGGTTTTTAAAGTTATAATGTTACTTGAGGACAAGTAACAGTTAAGTTTGGGGGTCTTGACACGCCTAAAAAATGCTTGATTTTTCATATACATTTTATGCTTAATTTTAATGATATTGCTCTTTAAAGGAATGTATTTTATATGTTTTTGGTTTCCGGTACAAGAAATGAACATTTGGAGAAAAAGAAACAAAAACGGTGCAATTTGGAGCAAAAACGAACAAGAAATAAAATTTTGTCCTGTCAACTTTCGATAAGTCTTTCGATGCTTAATATCTTTTACACTTCTTGCATATTTTTGAATGAGATTACCCTTTAAAGGAAGATTGTTTTCATGCTTGTTTTGTAGGACTATCTGTTAGGAACACAACGCAACTGAAATGGGGCGAAACAGAGCTAAAATGGAGCGAAACGGTGGAGCTGCACAATGTGCTCGCCGACGACGAGATTTACCCGAGAAGACCGAAAAATGACAAAAAAGCTCGCCGATGGCGCCCGTGACAACTATGGACCGACTTTTGGAGGTTATAGGCCGAAATTCAACGTATTTGGACGTTTTTTGAAAGGATTCTTGTGGCAACTCTTCAAACTTCGTCCCTACACTTTAAAAGAAGAATTTATGTTAGAAAAAGAGGGTTTTTTGTGAGAAGAATGTTAGAAAAAGTTTGGAGGAAGTTTAGGGTTTTTAGAATATGAGTAGAAATGTAGATTTCTACCCTTTTGGAGAGATTGGAGAGGAGATTTTGAGAGAATTTGTAAGAAGATGTTCCAGCATTGCATGGATCGGCGGGAGACTTTGTGGGAGAGATATTCATCTTTCTTTCAAAGGGAAAAAACTAAGTATTGTGTTCTTCTTCATTATCTTATGGTTTTGTAAACACTTATCTAGTGGCTTTGCTTTGGTTAAATGAAGTTTCCGTTGTGTTTTCTTCGCGCTTTGTGATGGGGTTCTCTTAATCT